GAGTCCGGTCCGGGCACACCGCCTCGACTACGCCCCCCCCCCCCCCCCCAGCCCACGCCGCCGAAACTCGACCCACACGGCACACGGCAGGCCGAGGCGGAGCGGCACAGCCAGGCCCCGCAGAGCACTTGACGCCAGCAACCGTCGACCTCGTGTCCAAGGGTTGTGGAAGTATGCCATGCGACTGGGATAGAGGTGTTTCTAGCGAGGACCGGCAAGTCCTTCGGGTGGTAGCCCATGTCCGCGCCCTCCCTCGGAGCGTTCCTCGTCGTCTCTCGGGTGCACCTGATTCTGGTGGAAGTGGCCAGACTGGTGGCCATGGTCCTGGTCGAGCTGGTCGAGTCAGTCGAGGTGCGAGTACAGCTGGAAGGAACAGAGGCAGGGATGGTGATGGTGGTGATGGTGATGGTAGTGATGGTGATGGTGATGGTGATGATGATCGTCATCGTTGTCATGAAGATGCTGCTGCGGCTCATCGCGGCCGTCAACATCATTATGGTCATCATGATCAGGTGGCCGAGGACAAGTGGACCAAGAGAGAGCTCGTCTTGACCTCGGATGGCGTGCTGTACATCTACATCTACGCATCGGCAAGAAAGAGGAGGAAGGCCAGAGCGGTGCTCGCAGCAGCAAGAGCAGACCTGGCTCTGCCGGAAGGGACAGCGGCGTTGGACGCAGAGAGCCCGCAGGCCACCACCCCACGCTCGCCAACATCCCCGATTAGCCAGGAACCAAATTCGGCCGAGGCAGGCCGTCAGAGGGCGCTGACCGCCGCAGGTGATGCGCCAAGTGTTGGTGTTGGCAGCGAGGCAAGCTTGCGTGGACGGTCACGGACTGCAAACGCATCCAGTGCCGGAAAAGACGCAAAGGCGGCGAGAAAGGCCGCAGCACGACGCCGCAAGATGGAAAAGGAGCGCGAGAAGAAGAAAGCCCGCTCAAAGTCAAAGGGCAAGGACACCACGGACTACGCCCGCCTCCTCGTTCCGCTTGCCGCCGTCGATCTCCAGTGGTACACCAACGTGTACGCCGACGCCTCGCTCAAGCGCAAGCACGCGCTCTCCATCACCGGCAAGCTTGCGCCATATGCCATCGCGCTTCCGTCGCGGGTTGAGCTCGCCAAATGGCTCGGCGCCGTTGTTGGCTATCTCTCTGAGGATCTGGAGGGTGTCCACATTCCGCTCTCGCACCCGACGCTCGAGCGTCCGATGCGCGCGTCTCGCCGAGCGTCGCGCCTCTCTCTCTCTTCACTCCGCATCAAGCTGGAAGAGGAGCGGGCGCTGCTCAAGGCCCAGATGCAGACTCCACCCGGCGGCGCCGGCCAGCTCCTTCTTCCCCGTTCCGCTGCTGAAGCCACCGCCGCCGCTGTTGCTGCCGAGGCCGCTGCCGCCCGCAAGCTCTCTGCTGCCGAGGCCGAGGCTGCCGCCCGAGCCGCCGCCATCGTTGATGCCGCCCGTAAGGAGGCTGCCGCCATCGTCGCCTCGGCAGAGACCGACGCGGAGGCCATGCTCATTTCGGCGCGCCACGAGGCCGATGGCATGATGCAGGCTAAGGTCAAGGAGGTCGCGGCCTACAAGTCTGCTGTTGTCGCCAAGCTCAAGGAGATCCGCCTCTTGCTCTCGCAGCAGCGCGAGAAGATTCTCAAGCGTGAGGGTGTCATCCGCGCCCATCATGCCAAGGAGCTTGCCGCCGTCAAGGAGGCACACGCCAAGGAGCTCGCAGCCGCTCGGGCTGCTAGTGCCGTAGCAGACCCTGCTGCCGACGATCAAGCACTGCTCTCAGACGCTGTCTTTGCCTCCCTGGCGGCTCAGATTGAGGCTGCCGCGGTCACTTCCCGCTCTGACACCATTGGCGACGACTCGCTCCTTGTCCAAATGGAAGAGTACTTGGCTTCAGACCACGTTGTCGCCGCCACAAACCGGCTTCGCAAAACCTCGGCCCACGGCTCCGCCATCGAGCGCTCGCCCAGCAGCACGGCTTCGGCCTCGTCGTTGGACGCATCGGACGACGACGGCGATGCGCCGTCCTCTGCCACAGTTGCCGGCGTCACCGCCGATGCCAACGAGCCGGTCTCTGACTCTGGCTCTGGCTCTGGCTCTGGCTCTGGCTCGGGTTCGAGCTCGGGTTCCGACTCGCGCTCTGACAGCAACGACAACATCGATGACTTTGACTCGCTCCGCTCCTCACTCCGGCGCGACAAGATCCGCATCTCGGTTCAGCTGTCGTAGTCCTTGCACCACGGCTGTAGAGCTACAATCACCCGAATCAGCTCTCGCAGTAAACCACCGTCCGGTTAGTGCCCAAGCGCCGCTCGAGAATCGTAGTAGCAGCTAGTTTGTCGGCCCGTGGCCAGGGTGAGGAAGAGTGAGGGTGCGATCGGCAAGCGGCCGCCAAATGGCCGTGCGAGTGACATTAGCCGGGATGGCATCACCTGTCGCCTTTCCGGATGGACGGAAGGCAGCAGGGGTGGAGGCCATACTTGGCAATGAGATGCATTGTGTGCACAGTGGTCCTCTCTGCGGTTATGGGGATGGTACTGGGACAGTATGGCCCTGTGGAGCACGCTACGCCCGAGGTCATGGCAGAGCTCGGCGAGGTGGCGTGCTCGCTCGAGGTCGTCGACGCACAACTGATTCGTGGGCATGATTGGGGAGGCGACGAGCAAGTGGCTGACGCTGGAGCTGTGGCGAGTGAGCGAGAAAAGGCCTTTCGTCTCATCGATGCTGGGCGGCCGTTTATCGTGACCGGATTGGGCTTTGATGCTCCGTTCTGGGAGCTCCGCACCCTCGAGACCGCCTTCCCTCAGTGGTTCAACGACGAGGGCTACGTTCGCATCGCCAACGACGAAGCCATCAGTGCCGAGCTCAAGAAGCACTACGAGCAGCCAGTCTGGCTGGCGGATCTGGGAGACGGCTCGGTGGCGGACCTCGACATCGGATCAGAGTACCTCTTTACGGGAAAGAGTGGCAAGATAACCCGCCGTCACATTGACGACGGCTGCTCTGCGGCGTTCTCGCTCCAGCTTCGCGGACACAAGATCTGGGATCTCGACTTTCCGCTCAACGCCACAGGTGAGGTCTACGCCGACGATGGTTCTGTTCTCGCGCCCGAGGAGGAGACGCTCGTCTCGTGCATCCTGTATCCGGGCGATGCCATCGTCTTCTTTGCCGGCTGGCACCACGAGACGGTCATCCTCTCAGACGAAGACTCCGTCTCTGTCTCGTTTGACTTTACCGCGCCAACGCGCGGTGGGGCACAGGCCTCGTTCTACGCAAAGCATGGCGAGGCGCTGCTCGGTACGCCGTACTACTGCGACTGCGTGGCCACCATGGATCCCGCCGCCATGGACGATGCTGCCAAGCTCGCCGACTATGACGCGCAGTGCGACTTTCTCAAGGCGCCGACCTTTGGCGGCAGCGCAGTTGCCGGCGACGATCGCGGCTCACTGCCGTGCAAGGAGGGCGAGTACTGCTGGCTCTGCCCGGCCGACGACGAGCTGCTTGACTGACAGGTCCTGGCCGATAGCAACCTTGCTTTTACTCGCTCTTCCTTCGCAGCGACTAAATGGTGTCGTAGGAGGTGGCGGTGCGGGCCGACTTGCCGCAAGAAAGACAAAGTTGAAGCCATCGAGGACGAGGCCGGGGAGCGAGCGCCAAAAGTCGACGTTGGGGATCATCTCCAGGCCGACGGCGCCGACGACGACGCGCTTGTAAACGCAGCCACCCACAAGGTAGACAAAGGCAAAGACGACCGCAACAATGAGGAGGATGGTACCGCCGGACGGGCCCTTGTGCTTGGATGGCGAGCTCGGCGGGGCAGACGGGTTGTACGTCGTCGGGCAGTAGCCGAGCTTGTTCGACGAGAGGGTAAAGCGGTAGATGCAGTGCTCAGCCTCGCCATCAAACACGATCTTGGGCAGCTCGCCGGAGTGTTCCGGGTCGCAAAGGAGAGTGATCTCGATGGTGCGGTTGACACCGGTGGAGCACGGGTCACCATTCTCGTAGGTCACCACCACCGACTTGTCCTCGAGCGGGCCATCAGTAATGGAGGTGTATTGCAGCTGGCCCATGATCCGGTACTTCTCCGATCCCTCATCAACCCACGACTGGCAAGCAGCCGGTTGAGGGTTGGGTGTCAGCGAGTGACTCGACGGGCACTTGTCCACAACGTTGCAGATCATAAAGGTCGCCGTGTACTCGGTGGCCGGCGGCGGCGGCGGACCGTTGTTGGCAGGCGGCGGCGGCGGCGATGGCTCGTTATACTTCCAGATAATCGGTGCTCTACACATATACACATCAATCTGTTTGTAAGTCTACCCTCTACCTCATCATCACTTTCATTCATCTCCATCCCTACCCTATCTCTCCCACCACCTCGTCAAAGATGCCCTCCAGTTGGGGACAAAGATGCCGCCAAAGATGACACGCCGTGCGTCATGGCTGGGGGGGGGTATGGGAAGGACCACCACACACCACCCTCATACGGATACGTACTCGTTCTTAAGCTTGGAGAGCGGGAATGTGTACCCATTGCTGTTGACATATGTGTCACACTTGCCTCCGTACGCCACCTGGACGAGGAGCATGCCGAGAAGCGCGGCTGCCACAATGACCATGCGCATGACGTTGATGGCGACGAGTCGTGGCTATGGGACGGCACCTTGATTATTTTGTTATGTCGTTTATCGTTGGGGGAGGGGGGTCGGTTTGAATTTAGGATTGGTCGATCCGATGGAGAGCAGATGTAGGGTGTGGGGGTACGTATGTGTGTGTGGGGGTACGTATGTGTGTGTGTGTGTGTGTGTGTGTGTGTGTGTGTGTGTGTGTGTGTGTGTGTGTGTGTGATGGTGTGATGTGTGAGGTGCGTGTGCTTGTGTGGCGTGGGAGTGGGTCCGTAGGTTGCAGTGAGGTTGATGATCAACTCCTGTTCAGTTCATCGTTGTGATCACACCAACTCCTCACATCCACGTCAACCATCACATCCAACGTCCAACCCACTCCACACCAATCCCGTTTTCAGATACCTCTCTCTGACCAGCCAATACGCTAGCGCCCTCGATATCGCGCAGTAGCCCGGCTTCCAAAGCGATCGATCGCTTGTGGCGGGTGGTGTGGTGACCAACTACGGCAAGGTCCATTAATCGTTCAACTCGTGCAGCTCGGCTGGCGCCACCCGACTCGATTCCGCTACGCGACATGGATCCGTCTGAGACTACCGAGACTGTGGACGTGGCCCCGCCTGCCCCCAAGAAGAAGCTCAAGTACGTACCCGCTATACCCAGCAAGGCCGCTCATGTGGTCATCTCGGTCTCTTATGTGCCATACGTCTTCTCCATGGCCTCGAACAGCTCGGCTGACTATCGGTCCGAGGATGGCGGTCTATGATGGGCAGCGGCGAACAATGCCATCAATTGACACTTGTTGGAATCGCTGTGGCGATTCCCGGAGGCGCTGTTGCCTCATCGAGAGCACTCACAAGATTGATGGCGTGTGTGGTTTATGTGTGTGCGTGTGTGTGTGTGTGTGTGGTATGTAGGATCTGTTGTGCTTGCCCCGAGACCAAGAAGATCCGCGATCAGTGCCTCGTCAAGTTCAACGAGGACAAGTGCGCCGAGTACATCGAGGCCCACAAGATCTGCCTGCGTAAGGAGGGCTTCAACGTTTGATCGGCGCTCAGGATCGACCTCGAGATGTGTAGCTCTGCCAATCTCCGCGCCGTCATGCCCTGCGCACGACGTTGACTCGGAGAGTTTGCCCGTGCTGCTCCGCGTCCCGGCTCTCGCGTCGTCACGGCGTCGGGCCGTGGGCTGCTTTGCTGGGCTGCAGCCGGATCTCCTTCTCCCCAGCCCCACACGCCAGCGTTTTGCTGCGTCCTCCAAATACACAAACGCTCTTCCCCCAGTTCGCCGACTGGGATCTTCCCCTCGCATCACCGTTGAACTCGAAACCGGCGGCTGGCTGCTCAAGATGATCCCCCGGGGTTGAAGCCGTGTGACGCCGGCGACCGTTCTAGGCTTCCAACACAAACGGGATCTTTGTTCCGCGAGAGGTACGCATGTGGAGTTTGTGCTGCACATGATTGGGCGTGTGTGGCTTTGGATTCTCTTTTCTGTAACAAGTGCGCACTCTGTGCACTTTCTGCGCGTTTTTGCAGTATGCAAAGTGTGACGGTCGTCAACAAAACGCAGCCGATTTCACGCATACCCACCAACCGACATCCTTAGCACACACCACACCGCAAAGCCTGAGAGCAAGTAAGAGCAAGAGATGACTACCGCATCGAGCAAGATCGTTCCCCACTTCGTCGGAGAGTACAACGGAGTTCATGTCAAGACCAGCGAATGGCTTGCGGAGGAAGGCAACGGCGATGCGATTGTCGCTTGCCAGCAGTTGGCCGAAGTGACCAAGGAGTGGGACAGTGAGGGGTACAGTTCAGTGATGGTCAAGATCCCTGTTGAGCGGCTTGATGTGGCTGCTACCCTCTGCAGCGACTTTGGCTTTGCCTTCAACGGCGCCAACCGTGAGGTCTGCACTGTCTACAAGTGGCTGGACAAGTCCATGGCCGACGGTGTTCCACCCATGCCGCAGGCCTTGGCAGGCACAGTGGTCTTTGTTAGTCACGGCGATGACGTCGTTGTTATTCGCGAGGTCCGTGGCTACGGGCGGAACCACTGGTGCGTTCCTGGCGGCTCTATCGAGCTTGGCGAGGATCCGGCACAGGCTGCCGCTCGTGAGCTCGCCGAGGAGGTCGGCATCACCGCCCATCCAGACGATCTGCAGCTCATTGCGCTCCGCACAGCACGTGGCAAGGCTGGGCCCGGCATCTTGCCTCCGGGCTACATGTCCATCTTCTTCCTTCCGCTCGATGCCAGTGCCGAGCGGCCTGTCCTCGTCCCGGGTCCCGGCGAGATCGCCGAGGCTCGCTGGGTCCCATTTGACGACTTTGTGGCCGACTACATCGAGCCGCACCCAACCGAGTACGACAGCAACGGGCTCCCCGACATGAAGCCGACGCCGCCGACTTGGGCGGCCATCCATCACCTCGCCTCTGCTGCCAACGCGGCCTGGCGCGCCGGCGATACTCTGCTCGGCTTTGGCGCCATCCGCACGCCCATCTCGCTCGTCACCCGCGACACGCCCCGCGATGATCCGCGATGGGCCAAGACACACACCGTCTTTGCCCCGCACTTTCTCCTCTCTCGCATCGTCGACCATCTACTCACCAAGCCGTAGTACGCCCTGTCCCCGGACGACTCGCCCCACAATGAACCCC